AATAAACTGTTTCAGGTTAGCCGTGTTTTCTTATCTGGTTCTTACAGTCATTGTATTGTGTGTACAGGATATGTGTGAAAGTGTCATTGTAAGATACAATGACAATACAATGAAATAAGAACCAGATTAACAAATTACGCTAACCTGACGTTTACTCCTCATTGACTCTGAAGGTGAGCTACCCTAAGAAATTGTCGCAAACGTCAGTCAATCAAGATAAAATTTCAAAACACAAATTCATAATTCCTGTGCAATATTGTCTGCCAAATATTTTCGCAAATCATTTCGATTTTTTTCCTCATAAGCAAATTCAACGTTTTCTCATGTGACGAAAATAAAATCTTTATTGCTAAATGAAATCAATAATATAAAATTATAATGAGCCGTGTAAAAACAATGTGAAAATTTTGTTTTTACTTTGCTACAGAACCGGCACAGTAACTTGAATAAACAGTAGCTAAGACCACTTTGCTGTACAACTAACTCGGTGGTGTATATAAAAATTTAATTTTTTGGTTGCAGTTACATTTAGCCATCTTAGCGTTCCTATTACTCCGAAAATACAATGGACTGTCTCGCATTATATTAATTACGTGTGTATTAATATGGCATGTAGTTACTAAACACAAGCTGCACGCCGTATTTTAAGCCTAGTTTCTCACCATGTATACAACTGACAAGAAGGAAAAATAGGCATCTAACTACGATCCGCCTCCAGTTACAAGACCACGTATAGTTTACTAAGCTCTTGTAGGGTAGTCTCTAACCCCCCTAAATCATTGGTGTGACTAGTAGAGTTTGATTAAGAAGTTGCCATGACAATAGCCTATTTGTAACAATTTTTTATAATGTTCTATGATGTATCTTGTTTATGAAGATTGCTAGTAACATTACAAAAAAGTATTTGCAAAATCACATCAACTATTTGTCTTACCACACATGAATTAAGGTTTTGTTCATTTCTTCCAAAAAATTGACAAGAATCTCGATCTAAAAAAATTAACAGACTTTGTAACAATTTCTTCACTTAAGAATTTAGTAAACGAGCAAAAGTGATCTTTGGGAACAAAAGAGTAAGAATAATTGAGTAAAAAGGAGTCATTCAGTTTCGTTTTCTCTTATGATTACATATTGATGTTAGAAATTTTAGAAATGGCTTTAAGAATTATATACTGTTAAAACAAGAGACTTTCTAAATCTTGTGACATAAAAATTTTTCACTTTTTTTTGAACGAGCCATAGCAGTGAAAAATAATAGATTGAATGACCCATGCCCCAAACATCCGTATTGCAAAAACAAAAACACGCTTTCTATTTAACGTATAGCGCATACAAACCAAGTGATTAAATCATTCTTTAACACACTCACTATGTTTCCAGATGAAAGAGATCGATCAGAAATAAGCTTTCGCATTGTGAAACATAACTCCAGGAAAGTAAACAATCCAGTTTTTAAAAGTTCATGGTATATTTCCAGAGGACAGAGCAAAAGAAATAAACGTTTGATCAAAGGATCCATTTCAAAAATTTTCTTCAAATTTTCCAAAACTTCCAATGCCTCTCTGTATTTCATTATAAAAAATAGAAATAGACAGTGAGCAATTTCATTTTTGCCTATAACCCAAATTACGTTCAAGTTTCAGGTTGTGAACAAATTCATTTCGTGAAGTCCACTAAAAGACAACGACGCCAGCATTCCCACTTAAATACTTATTTTCCAAATTCCATGTTCGGAGTGTACTACACAGAACGCTAAACCATACCATTGAAGAGACATCTTTATTAGTTTAAAAATATCACTCATTCAATGAAAAAACAAAAAGCGTAAAGGTAATATGTAATTAACACGATAACGTCATGTTTATATCATGCAAAAGAAGACAATAAGCAATCAATGCACAAATACAAAATTAAACTCCACAAAATTTTGTGTTAACCAGATAACTCAAACAATATACTTGATATAGTTAATAAATCACTAATTTTTCATTATTTAATACTAGCTATAATTATATATTTTTAATTATGACAACCAACCTTTCTGCAAAACCCTGTAAATTTCGGCATGGAAAGTCTTTCATCCCCCACCATTTCCAGCTTGAAATATCTAGGGCTTTCGTAGAATCTACATGTTCAAACGGTTTGCAGTCTCCTCGTAAAAAGTGCACCAAAGGCAGCGCATTAAGCCAGAGAACCAAAGGTATCACTGTCATTTGTTTTTCGTAAAACTTGATAAAATTGTCGATGAAGGAGCTAGTGATAAAGGAAGAGAAACAGCAATCAAAATTATTCATCTAAACTTATTGTTTACAAAACATGTCGCAGTAATTGCGCTTGCACAAACGATCCTTGGGCTATTTGACATTAAAACATATTATGGACAGACAGCAAAATTGAGTTTTTGTACACGTCTTGCACAATATATACGGTAGAAACAACACTGGCGGTCAAAAACATCTGCATAAAAACCACCACAACTAGACGTATAAGAACAAAAAGTAAAAAAGTTCTATATTTCGCGAGTTCCCAGCTCAGCTACAATCACAGCGTCACATCTTTAGCACATGCTGATGTAGTATCATTTAGATTTGAGCACTCTCTCAACCTTTCCTTTTTCTTAGAACATTTTTATCACATTTTTCATTTGCCTTTTTATGTTCTTTTTTAAAATGAGACCTGCATTTCCAAAACTTATTTATCTTACAGCCATTTTTCTTCTTAATTCGATATGTAAAACTATTTTGGAAAATGTTTTTCGGGAAATTCTCCTCTCTGGTTCACTTCTCAAAAAATTCCACACAAAAACTCATTTTTCTTGTTCCTCTTGTTTCTTCTCCCAAGTCAGCTTTAGCTCCTCAGCAAGACCATACTTGCAGAATTTTTGTGTGTTTTTCTAACATAAGATATAGCGTCGATATTGACTAATGAGCTTTATATTTTTAAGGATGCACCGAGTATCAATAAAGGTGGTACCTAGCTCTTGTGATGAGTTTTTTGAGGATCGTCGCGAATGGGATAGAAGGATGAATAAAAGATGTACGAACTCCCGACTGGCTTTATGAACCAGTAAAAGGTTTTTCAAAATTTTACCTCACATGCAACTTATACATCCATTACTAACGTTCAGCAAATATGAGAATGCTCAATATCGCACTTCAGTCAGTAGCAGAGTAAATCGTCTTTCTTCATATTTTCATAGAAACAATTGAATTTAAGCGTTGCAGGAATTCGCAAATACACAGTCAAATAGCTAATACATAGTAGAGATAACATTGAAAAAGCGGCCTCGCATACTTGAAAACGTTTTGAAGAAAAAATTCCAAAATTGGGTCAGCGGGTCAAAGCACATTTAGCAGGGAGTACACAGCCCGTAGATTTCATCGTCAATCGTGTTACGGAAATTTCAGTTATTTGCCCTTTAATAAATCTATTAGTTTTACAGTGAGACAGAGGAGTAGCCAGCCCGAGAGTTTATTTGTGTTATTTAAATATTTTGGTGTTCACTCAAAGTAAAAATAATAAATAGAAAATAAGAAATAAACAAAAAATGCTAACGAAGGAAAAATTATAAAAAAGCAATTTTATTAATGATCTGAAATCAGCAAAGAACACTCAAACTTACGAGCTGGCTTTAAGATCAAATTATTCCAAAACCAAAATCGAATAACTTCTTTTGGTAGGTCTTAAGCATACAAATCAATGAAAACTGTATCCAACCGCACTAAAACCTAAAACTTTACACTAACCGTAACCCGATGGTATTTTAAGAATTGGATACAGAAGGGGATTGTAATGTATCGTGGCTTCAACATTACTGTGGAATTTTAGATTTTGAGTTTCAAACCATTTTAGATTCGGCAAATAAAGTGAATGAAATTACAAGAACAAACCTCGACATTATTTCCTTAAAATTACGAATGCTTTCAGTCAGTTTATCGCATAAATTTTTATCAGGTGGAATCTTGAGACATTTGAACACCATTACGACGTCGTCATGACTAAGTTGGACATTGTACTTCACAAATACGTAAACAATAACAGTACTGGAAATCAGCCCATCAACTTTATTCTGTAGGCCATCTTTACTTTCCATAATCCTAAGATTGTTTTTTATTTTCTGCATCAATATTTGAACATAAATCTGTAACAAAAATATTTCAAATATTAGTTTTGAACAATAAATGCACTTTTCAAAGCACTTCACTCTTTTTTTCTTGACATATTTCAATTACGACTGTAATATGCCTCAGTTATTAAAACAAATGATAAGCAACAGGAAAAGCCAGTAAACTGGCTGTTCCTATTATTTAATTAGTATATGGCAACAATCGACGACAAGACGTGCAATAAGCTCAAACCTTTCCAAGATCCAGTTTCCGCAAATCCACTTTTTTATACGACGAATATCCTTCATAAGACGTAAGAATTTCGGGAACACCCTGACTTAGATGCAAAAGATGAAGTCTTTCCAAAGATTCGACCGCTTTCAGTTTATCATCATAAGAAACATCAAAAAATCCTTTCCAAAGCGGAAAGTGCAGTTGAAAAAATTGTTCCCTGTCTTTAATAGTATGTTCGTGACGGACGAAAATGTCTCTTCCAAGGTTTTTGTACACAAATCCATCGTATTTGTAGAATATTTCTGACAAAATACGAATCACATCAGGTGACAACATTATATAGATATCAAATTTAAAACCCGGAAGAGTCAAGTCACTCAAAGGCAATTTTGCTACATTGTCGCGCTTTTAGTGCTATCGTTTATGGATATGACGAAAAATAATTATTATAATATAATATATTGCTAGATATTCTGGTCTACGAGTGCCAAGTAGAATCACTTCTCTCTCGTTCCTTCGTTTATACCTACTATGAAACAGTGGTCACTCGATGCATTAATCTTCCGTTCCTGGCGCATGCATATCTGCCAGTCACAATTAGCATAAAATAATTTAGTGGTATAGAAACCGGGGAGCGGGGAACCCAATAATTTGTCATAGATACAGTTTTTAAATCTGGTGGCCATTATTCAATATTAGCAATTAAACAATTATTGGATGAGGTTGAGGATGATATCAAGAATTATTCAGTTCAATGTTATCTGCCGAAGCAAAGCTGAATTCGTTAATTGTCTTACTATACACCTGAATGTAAATGCAGATACTTTCAAACTATTGTGAAGCCATAAAGTTTTCCGTTCTTCAAAATTATATACGTTTTGCGGTTCGCTTTTGTCTTTTTTCTGTACATACTTGATGAAAAATTGCCTGACTGACTAGTGTAACCCTTTCTGTGTTTTTTTTTATTTCCTTATTTTCAATAATTCGAAAAAATTAAGTAGTTTGTAAAGCGCTTTGCTAGAGCAAGCTTCCGCTAGTATACTTTTTTTCTTACAATTTTCACATGAAGAATAACGTAACGCACAGATAACTTTCAATGTTTGTAGGTGGCAAAACATTAAGAATCGTATGTAACCTCTTAACCAATCACAATCAAGATTGCATTCATCGTACTCGCCATTATGTTCGTCTTTTTTTATTTTGTAAGTTAAAATTTATACTTACTGTTTTGTACAGCATATTCATTGGGAATATCAAGGCACCGATCGATATAACCGTAGTTCAAAGCAATATTGGACTCCACCTCCACTAAACATTCATACATCAAGCTCTTCTCTTTGTTCTTGCTTTTGACCAAGACATATTTGTAGGCACATTTATAATTACAGAATTTTAAAGGAACTTTAAGTTCACAACGAAGAAAAATTTGCTTTTGTTCATTTCTGAAAATATAAGAGAGTACATAACTGAACAGGACAATTGATGAAACCAGCAAAGCTACTATATCTGAATGAGCCCCTACGCCTCAATTGTTGACTTATATACAAAACTGCAGGTCTTTGACCAAGGTTTATGACACAAAACTCACTGCGACCAGGTCTCTGACACACAAAAATTGAACCGTCCATGTTTTACATCAACGTGTTTAAAGTTAGAGTCCAAAGGAAATACAAAATCGTTTTCCAAGCGACTTCAAGTGTCATAGCTACTATTTAAAGATATTCAGTCGTAAGTTTATGAATCATGAAGAAAAGCATACCCACCTTTCTACTGTAACAGGCTCTCCAAATCCTTCATCCCATTTACTGAAAATTGGTGCTTGTCCTAGAATAACAATCTTTGTCTCCTCGTTATAATCTTTCTGAAAATTCTTCGACAACATTGCAATAAAAACAACAGTCATCATTTTCTCTTCTGCTTGAGTGATTTCTGTGTTTTTCTTCTGTCTAAAAACATATTAGCAAAATGTTGAGTAATCAATAGAATTTTTAATCCGGGGGATTGAAATCAGCGATCATATTTTTCAAATGAGAGGCTGTTCCCTATTAATATGCATCAAAATAGCAAGTGTACCTACAACAGCTAGGTGGGATTGCACATTGAGCTCTTAGTTGTAGAGAATTATAATTTAAGAACTGGATCGGTTAATTGACTTGATTTCCATCAACATTTGTAAAATAGATGATAATAAATTTTGTCTAATTTTATTTTTGTTAAAGATCAAACAATTTAAATTGCTAGCATTTTCAGTTTGTATTTCATATCCCATTCTTTTTAGAAACTACGTATACATATTTAGTTTGTTCGACCCAAGAATTCGGTGCTAGAGCAATCAACTAATCAAAGATGCATTAATGGAAGCACAGTGAGCAAGAGAATACATCATATGTCACCACAAAACTAGTAAGACCTTCAAGACAAATTTAACTACAAATATTTTGCAATTTTTCAGCCAGATTAATGGAATAAACAAGAAAGGCGAACAACATGATTGTCTTATTGGGCGTAGATACAAAGAAAATTAAGAAAACTTTGCCTAACTATTTAAATTTTGAGTGTCAGATTTAGTAAGATGGAATGAGAAGAAAAATACTGGATTTTACTACACGCACTATCTGGATGTCCCAACCCTTCACCACAAACCGAAATATCGTTTTTCTGAAAAAATGTTGGGTAAACATGCCTGTCTTTTTTGTTGGACTTTCTCCTGTTGTCTGGCTGTAAGTCTTTCTTCTGGTAGAAATAACCATCCTATACTCAGTGAAACGTAAATGACAAAATATAATGATTAGGAACGAAAAACAAACAAGACACCCCCTTAATTTTTACATGATGCTATGATATAAAATTTGAAGTAAACCCTGATCATGGTAAAAACATTGGTAGACATCTTTTAAAGGCAACTCACTCAGTTACTTTGATTTCATAGATGAATCACGTGCAAAGCACTGACTTTACAAATTTAAAACAAAAACATGTTATTCTATATGCATTGAGATTTGTTCATAGATATAACATTCGATAATAAATCTTCTTTAACAAGCAACATCCAACCAGCAGCAAAAACAAAGGAAATTCACAAAGAAATAATCGTTCGCAGAATCTGTCTTGACGTGCGGGGTTTTCTCACGAGTGATAAACTGTCGTACAGAAAAATACCTCACTTTCCCTTTGTCGTAAATTCAAAAAATTAGAAATGGTTTCAAGATTTGGAAACGCCTGTAGTGCCAACGAATTTATTTCGGAACGGGAAAATTTAGGAGGCTCGCATACGCCTGTTATCTAGAAGGTCACCTACAATCGCACTCGTTGAATAAGGTTTCAAAATCCCCACATAAATAATAGAAGACGATATTTGCAGTCCACTGATGGCTTGATTTTAAATATTTTAACAAAAATCTCGAGTTTGCCTTTTGTAAAAATTTGCTTTTTGTAGATTTACGGATTGATATTTTAAATGACGCTAAGATGCCAGTAATCTATAAACTTTGAAAAAATTTTAAGTATAGCCACATACCTGATGTAAAGGATCGTTTCCAACCGACATTTGCAAAAGGGTTTGATCAGTCTTTTCCTGGGATTGACAAAAAACAAAGGATCGTATTACAGTTACTTAAAGAGTTATTTGCATTCATATCATATTGATAATTAAGTTATAAAAGTCGTAAAATAAATATAAAATTGGGTTAAGAATCATAACACGTAATTCAGAACAAACCCTACATGATTTGAGTCTGCTCCACTATCGCTAGTTTTTTCATGCCTTCCTCCACCATTGCTAGCTTTTTGATGTCCTGCTCCACCATCGCTAGCTTTTTCATGTCTTGCTCCACCATCGCTAGCTTTTTCATGTCTTGCTCCACCATCGCTAGCTTTTTGATGTCCTGCTCCACCATCCTTTTTATGTTCCTCCATTTCAGCTTCCATGTCTCTACCATCGCTTCCTTTTTCGTTTTATCCACCATCGCCTTTTTGATCCTCCTGCTCCTTTTCATGTCCTCCCCATCGCTTAGCTTTTGATCACTCTCCACCATCCTTCAAATCTTTTTCATGTCCACCATCCTTCATTTTTCATTAATCATGCTCCACCATCGCTGAGCTTTTGATGTCCTGCTCCACTATCGCTTAAGTCATGCCATCGCTCTTTTTGATGTCCTGTCCACCATCCAAGCTTTTTGCTCACCATCGCTAGCGCTTTCGTCATGCTCCACCATCATCGCTGCTTATCCTACCACCATCACTTCATTTTTCATGTCCTGTCCACCATCATTAGCGCATCTTTTGCTCCATAAATCGCCTTTTGATGTCATATCACCATCGCCATTTTTATGTCATCCACCATCACAGCTTTTTCGTGTCATATCCACCATCGCTAAATTTTCGTCATCCTCTTTTCGTCATTCAGGCTTTATGTCTTATCCACCATCGCTATTTTCGTATCTTCACCATCATCATTTTTTTCCTATCACAATCCTTCAAACTTTTCATCTTTGCTGGCACCATTCTGAGTCGCGATCATGTCTTTAAATCCATCACTGTTTGTCATATCACCATCAGCTTTTTTGTAAGTCATAAGTCAGTGGATGACTTCGCATGTTGCCTCACAATCCATAAATCATCGCCTTTTTGTCATTCATCATCAATCCTTTTCGTGATCATGATCACCATTCTTCAGCTTTCGTGTCATCTTTCATGTCGTGCTTTTCGATCATAAATCGCACCACGCTCATTGATGCAAATCAGCTCTTTTCGATGGCACCATCAATCACTTTTTGATCTTTGCGCCGATCATTCGACGCGGATCCACCATCGCCACCTTTTTGTCATATCCACCATCACTAGGCTTTCGTGTCCACCCATCCTTCATGTCCATCCACCATCCTTCACTATCCACCATCCTTCTTTTCATGTCCTACCATCCTTCTTTTCATATCCTCCTCCATCAGTCTTGTTCTTGCTTTCATCACTATTGCTGTTTCATTCTATTATCTTTCCATCATCACCATTTCTACGCTTTGTTCCGGATCAATCAGCTTTCATTGTTGTTTTTTCCTCCATTATCCTTACCTTGTTATGTTTTTCATCATATCGCTAATTTCTATGTTATTTTCTCTACCATTATCAGCTTTTTTACGTTTTTCTCGTGAATCGCTGGCTATCGTGTTATCTTCTCCATCACTAGCTCTTTCAAGCTTTTCTCCACAATCGCTAGCCTTTTTACGCTTTGTTCCACCGTTGCTTACTTGAGTATTTTTTTCTTCATCATCACCTGCGTCTTTACTGTTTTCTTCACCATTGTTAACTTTTTGATGTTTCGCTTCACCGTCACTATCTCTTTTACGCTTTGTTCCACCACCATTAGCAATTAGATCGCCTTCTTCAGTATGGGTGGCTTTTTCAAATTTTGCTTCACTATCACAATGTCTCGAGTTGTTTTGCCCATCATTACTTCTGTTTTCATTGTGTTCATTAGCCCAGGAATCATCAGATCCTGAAAAATAAAACTGCTATGAATACATTGGCATGAAAAGCAAGTTGGTGATGAAAATACAAATTACTTAACGAAGGCTGGGGCAGTCTACTTTCAATGATTAGATTACAAAATTTAACATTCTTTCCTCAATATTTGATTGGTAAAAAGCAGGGAAAATGAGATGAAACATTCAGAGGACACAAAATAGCAAAAATTAAGTTACGTTTGGCAGAACAGGCATTTAATCAGAATCCTGACCACAAAAACTGCAAAAGTAGCTATTTTAAACATACGTTTTTGATAGCTAACTCACAATCAGTGTCGTCACCAGTTCGATAAGTGAGTGGGACGTTATTCATATATACATGCTTTAATACTTAAGAAATAATTGATTTATATAAATCCTCCTCACTGATGCAGCTGGCGATGCAGCACCGCAACTAATGACAAAAATCTACCCAACATTGACTTGTTATTACACAGTGTCACTCGATGTGATGTAAGACAAACCAGTTTTAACATACATGAAACTTCCACACAAAATTTCTACATCCACAATGTCCTGGCGTCTGCCCTATCACTTCTCAACCAAGGTGGAAAATCCTGAGGAGACGAAGGAGGCATGTCTCTTACCCCACCTTTTTATGACCACGTCGAGACAACTATCCCCTAACCCTGAACCACCTAGTCAATCCCATCTCACTCTTCAAAACGGATTTGTGACTTTGTTGTAAACCTTTCACCAGCAAACACAAAAGGCCCGTGCTATGTAGAAGATAGTAAATCATAAAACATGTCCTACAGTACACGTGCAAATAAACCTTAGTATAGTGCTTTTGTATTCTTTTTAAACTTGCAACGTTATGTTCAAGTGTCCCAACTCGCTTATCTTCTCAATCCACCTTAAACGTGTCAAAAATACGAAATCAAATTGCGAAATTCGGACAATCAAGTGGACAGACATAGTAATGTATGTGTAGAATAGTGGCAATAAAATAGAAAGAAATTGCCTCTTGGGGCATTTTTAAATCTCGTTTTAGAAATACACAACGACTTAATCATTAAGGAAGAAGGTGTAAGAGTATATAAAAATCATTTTCGAGAGCGATCAACTGTATGTACTAGCACTGATTATGGAATAATTAGCTTGCTCAGTCACAAAATTTCAGATAAATAATCTGCGCATGCGCAGTCTGCTTGAGCATGCCTAAACAACTCCACATACTCTCAAGTTCATGGTCATGGCAACGACCAACAGTATAAGCTAGTACAGATTATGGAGTAATTAGCTCGCTCAGTCACAAATTTTCAGGTAAGTCATCTGCGCATGCGCAGCAAACTTGAGCATGCTGCTCAAGTTCAGGGTCATGGCAACGACCAACTGCATGTACTAGCACCGACTTTGAAGTAAATAACATGCTTAGTAACAATTTAATACAGAAATCATCTGCGCATGCGCTTGAGCACACGCCGTCTACTCGACTAATTGTTCATAGTCATGGCAACGACTTGCACTACATTTGTGGCAATTAGCTCATTTAGTCGCAAATTATCGAAGAAATAATATGAGCATGCGCATAGTGATTTTAACAATAACACAACATTCGTAAGCCTTTAAATTTATGTATATATATATATATACATAAAAGATAAACGTTTCTCCGGATTTTTAAATGATTTTTATTGAGCTTTCGACTCGTTGCTTCGAGCCTTCATCATAATGAGGATATTTATTTACACGTGCTTTTAGCTTGGAGACGCTTAGAACGTCTAATTGGATTAGTGGGTGGATTAATGTGATTGGATGGGGTGAAATACGTTGCCATGGGTTTTGGTGTGTTGTTAATATGGTTGGTGTTAATAATGTTAGAGTTTAGTGTTTTAGTTTTGGTGTTGTTTGTAGTTTTTTTGTCCTTTTTCTTTAGTTGTGAGTATATGATGGGTATGTCGATATGCCTGTTTATTGTGTCGTTGTCTTCACTGTACCAAGCTTCTTTAAATTCGCGTGCGTGTTTAGTCTGTGCGCGTCCGAGTACTTTAGTTTCTGTCCAGTCGAATGTGGTTGTTTCCGTGGGTATGTTCTGCCGGTAGTGAGTTCGGATCTCGTCGTTTTATGGCGTTTTTGTGTTCTGTGAGTCTTGTTTCAATTTTCTTAGATGTTTGTCCTATGTATTGTTTTGAACAGTCTTTACATGGTATCATATAGATCGCGTCAGTTGTATCATGAATTGTTGTTTTGTCTTTATGTTTGGTGAAACATGATTTGAGTTTTTGTGTAGGTTTGTGGGCGACGTTAATATTAAATGGTCGAAGAAGTCTGGCAGTCATTTCTGATGTTCCGTTTATGTATGGTAATGTGACGATTTTTACTGTTTCGTCCGGTTTTTGTTGCTTTGTCGGTTTGTGTTTTGTTTTGTATTTTGTATATAGTTTTGTTTATGAAGTTTCTAGGGTAGTTGTTTTTAATAAATGTGGAGCATAAGTAGTTGCGTTCTTTTTTTTTGGCTTCTTCCGTATTACAATGAGTGTTTATCCTGTTGAAAAGTGTTCGAATGCAGCTTATTTCGTGTTGTGTTGGATGATTGCTGTTGAAATTGAGTATTTGGTCTGTGTGGGTGGTTTTGCGGTATACTTGTGTGTTTAGTGTACCGCCATCTGTTCTGGTTAGTAGGATGTCGAGGAAGGTAAGTTGTTTGTCGTGTTCTTCGTCTTTAGTAAAGGTAATGTTCTTTGTGGTATTGTTTATGGTGTGTAGGATTTGTTCAGTTTTGTCTTTCTTGACTATGGCAAAGATGTCGTCGACATATCTTTTCCATAGTCTGATGTTTGTGTTGTTTGTGACTGATTGTGTTTCGAGGTGTTGCATGATAGCTTCTGCGAGGAAGGTGGATAGCGGTGATCCCATTGGTGTGCCTGAAATTTGTCTGTAGCATGTGTTTTGGAAGGTGAATTCAGTGGAGAGGCAAAGGTTGAGTAAGTCTAGGATGTCATTTTTGTCTCGTTGTGTTGTAGCTTGCCAAGTTTTGTCGTTTGTGAGTAGTTCGTTTGTAATTTGTTTGGCAATGTCTAGTGGTATGGATGTGAAGAGTGATGTCACGTCGTAGGATATCATGATTTCGTCTGGTCGTAGTTTAATGTTTTCAATACTGGCGAGGAAAGTGGTGGCATTTCTGATGGTGTGAGGTGAATTTTTCATACAATAGATGTCAACTAGCAGTGAAACGGTGGCGACCGCACTCTCCCTGCGTACCTCGAGCAAAGTCTATCGCAGGTGATCTCGGAGTCTAATGGGCAGAAGTTGGCTATAGCATCTCCCAAGTAGGATAGCGTGCAGGGGCCGAAATCTCCTACCAAAACGTTAACATGCGGCGTTCTAGTGCCTTACGCTTAACAAGGTATCGGGAAGCATGGACGGAAAACGAGGTTTTTTGCTTTTGAATTTTATCTTTTTGTTTATATCATAAAACAAATTAGAACATCCAAGGAAACAGCAAAGTTTAAAAAAACTTCTGCCTCTTTGACTATACGTTTTTTACATGTTACTTTTTGCAAAGTAACTTTCTCATAACTCTCTCGTGATGAACGAGAGCCTGCTTATACAATGTAACTCTCTCATCATGAACGAAAGCACTCACGTGCTTTATGGAAAAAGGGATCATATACTTTTTTAATCATAGTTTTTACAAAGATTTTTACATAGATAGTTTTTACAAACATTTAATAAGCCAAGCCATCGTCTAAATTGAACCCTCATGTCATAAAATTTTAATTCATTTTGAAGAGTAAATATCTTTTTTCCGATTGAAAGGACTTCTTTCGATTGCAAAGAGATAGTCGTCCACTTTGTAACTTAGATGCCTGTATTTCGTTGTAAGAACCTACCCCATCAAAGATTATCCAGTTCCTAACCCTAACCCTAACCCTAACCCTAAACTAACCCTAACCCTAACCCCATCAAAGATTATCCAGTTCAAATTTTAGGTGCATCGAGCGAAGAAAATTGCAAGTCATAGAATTTTTTATAGCTATAGTTTAAAATTCCATTTTTACGTATATAACTTGTAAATGAATCTGAAAATCTAATTTTAGGGAGATTTCATCCATCAATAATAATAATATTGACAAGTGATTATGAGATAGCGAATACAACATGTAGTAAAGATAACAGTTTAAAAATTTGTATGGCTTGCTTTTTAGCGCTTTGTGTAGTTGTAATCCATCCTGGATATTCTAAGTCACGTCGTAAAGGCCAGTAACAATCCTTACAAAAAAGTCATTAGCACGGCAACATGCCAATATTCAAGCTTCCTTTCGATCGTTATGCTTTTTTCTAAACCAAAATAGTTCGTATTTACTGTTATGCCTTCTGCCTTCATAAATAATCGTTCTGAATAACTAGAACCGGATTCACAAATACCCCCAAACTCCAAGCATCTCCTAACTATTTTATTGCCACTGTTCTACATTAACAATACTATGTCCGACCATTTGATTGTCCGAACTTTGTTATTTAACCTCGTATTTTTGACATGTGTATCAACTGTCGGAAAGGTGGATAAAACGTTACTCAGTTTCTTTTACACAATGCAATAGGTGTATAGCTATACCTCAAACTATGACACGATAAGGAAGAAGTATTCAAAATTTTTACGGATAAGCCGTCAAGAGTCGAGACGTCTCAGTATGCCTTGAGTAGGGATAGCTTTATACAGCAGCATTAGCTATGTGCAAGGCGATGCAGATGATAGTGAAAAAATTTATAAAGAAAGTTGCGCAAATCACGTACGAATACGACAGCAATAAGACGAAACTCATGAAAGACGGCTATTTACATAAAAGACGCCACATACCTTGTGATTGGTCAAATATAATCTAACATAGTCCTTATTGTTCCCCAGGGGACATAAACATTAGCAAAAGTAGCAAGATTATCCAGTAGGCAGAGTGGCCTTAAGCCTACAGGCCGGGGCTTTCAAGTGGCCCGTTGCATCTAGATATAATTAGGATTTGGACGTTTTTGATTTTCCGAGGTAGCTAAATGTGTTTAACGTAAATCATTTACGCTGTTGAAAGCCGTACGATCAATTGAATGCAGAGAAAATGGCTTTCGTGCTATAAATATTGTTCAAATGCACATTGCTCAGAACTCATGAAGTATTTGTTTTCCCATTTCCCTAACACTGTCGACGATTTTCAAAATTTCGTTTGAACTTGAAAATGAACTTTCCCATTTTTACCCTATGGGGTTACAAATATCATGTGCATGACCAAGGAGTAATCACATGTAAGACATGCGGGAAGTTAAAAAGCTGCATGACTCTGTAGCCAGGATTACATACATCCGGGGGGTGGGGGGGAGCAAGTTCTCCACTTATTTGAAAATCAACAACTTCACATAAGGAAGACTACTACTACACCCTGAAATAGCAAGTCTACCCCCACCCCTCCTTTTCAAAACAGATTCAAACCCATAATTGTAGCAACAAATGGTTGACTCATCAGCGGAGTTGGTGCTACCAATGGTTAGGCTCATTTGAATGTAACACACAAAAAACCAAAGCAGTCACCATCAACTAAATCTTTGAGTATCCATGCATTTTTGACTTAAGACACAATTTAAAATAAACATTAAATTCATTGTTATAACTTGTTATAACTTCATAAGTGAGTTACACCATATACAGCTTGCGGGGGCAAAACTGGAATGCAAATTAGGGGGGTTGAACATTCATATATTCAGCTCTGTCCTACTTATTTCTTTTGAAATTAAAATCACCAGCAAAATCAGTCAAGCACAGCTGAATAAATGAATATTCACCCACCCATCCAAATTAACATTCTACTTTCACCCCTGACAGCTTGATTGAAATAATTTAATATTTTTATGATTCGGCAGGCATCATGCACTTGAGGAATTAAAAACTTACTAATTTTCCATAAACTTGCCAGCCTTAAAATATATCAGTGGGATTTATTGTTATTTAAAACCTAGATTATTCCTTCTGTTTATATTGCACGTGTTATTTCAGAGTAACCTATAACTTCAAATGCGGCATCATTGCACTTAATATTATCTTTTCCCCAGTGCTGTAGAAGTGGGAGGGTGCTTGGGGGAAGAGACCCCTTCTACATTTGAAATGGGTATTTTTTCATAATTTCATGGCTTCAGCTTCGTCAAGAGAGCTCCCATCTGATAAAATTAGTTCTACAGCACTGCTTTTCCCAACTTTGTAAAATAAACACATATTCTGAATGAATACGCAATACATTACGAAAGTTAAAAATGTGAGAAAATATGAAAAACTCATGAAAGAAATAGTAAGTTTTAAAGAAGTTTGAATTAACATGCAGCTAATGACTACCAAGGAGGCAAAATGATGCACGTAAACAATCCAATCAAGCCATCTATAGACCTATAGAGCTCTTTACAGCATATTGTGTCACATATCTGTGTAAATCAATTAATTTTTCACAGATGTGAAACATGTCATATTATCGAGCAAAAGTCAATGTGCATTAAAATGTTGGCTAAATTTTGGAATTGAATTGATATGGAGCTGTACATTTGGAATCTGTCTAATATAAACTGTACATTTTAGCAAAATCATACTTCCGGTTTTGAACAGACAAGATGATAGTGATGTTTCTTTTACGAAAGCAAGGTCTATTTTATATAAATTCATAAAATCACGAGCAAAAACCGAATCTACACTAAAATAGCACGGAATCTCAAAACCTATCATAGACTCCATCCATGAAATTATCTTTAACGCAAATAGCACTTCAATAAGTAAAGTGAAACCGAAAGTGCAAATTCCAAAAACGAAAATGCTCGATCGAACAATTAGAACAACGATAATTTGTTCTATCAAACCCTAATATGCATAATTGTGACAAAGTCGTAATCGAACTCTTACCCTCTCCCGGATAAACAATTTCTTCGCTGCTACTTCTGCTACTGCTACTGCTACTGCTGCTACTGCTGCTTGAGTTAGATTCAGCGTTCAGCGATGCATTTGCAATAGAAGTGCGTTCGTCGCTTAAATCGGCGGCGTTGTCATCCGCTTTTTCGCTTTCTGAAGGAGTTTCCTTCGTTTTATTTTTATCTTCCATAAAGATTGAATCAGAACATCTTAATCATGTTGCAAAATGTATGTTCACTCAGTTCAACTGCCGAAAGATATGAATACAAGGAAATTTTGATTTTCCCAGAACCGTCCTCGGCATTTAAAGCATGTGAGCAATATTGACTAAACTCTGCAATCCAAAGTGGAAGCTACAATTTTCTTTGATTTATAATGAGAAATAGTAATCGCAGATCGGACCCGGAATGGGTGTGATCACTGGGTGTGATGAAGACACTGATATGTATATTACACTGGATAACGCACCCATGTATAAAATATAGTAAGATAATTGAATCCGAAGTTGTCTGATCTGATTATGACCTTCGTGGGGGGTATCGGTTCCACTTTACTATACTTTTGTATTACAAAATCACAGTTTTTGCGTTTTTATTCGTTCTAAAAACTTTTGATTCAAGCAAAATTTTTGTGAAAGAGACAGAACAACCGGCAAAGATATTTAATCCTAACAAGTTTGTCTTCTTGGCTTTATAATGGCAGAAAATTGAGATGGTACAAGGTCCAACTGCATTGTTTTGAAACAAACTGGATATTATATGATGCTGCTGCTTCTTAAAAAACGTAGAAAAATTACAGAATCCTACTACTGCTACCAAAATTTCATCTGCAATGACGTTTATGGAAGATTGCTAAAAAATTTACTGATTTAACAACACTTTGTTATTCACATCGCTAATATCATAATTTCAACTTACGTCTTTATTATATCAGTGAAGAAGCAAAACAAATCGACATAGAAAAAGAATCAGAAAGACATTTTGAAGAACAATAGTGCGTTGAAAACGATATCATCAAACTCTGCGAGATGTACATCATCAAAATATGCGAATTAAAGTACCTCTGTTGTCATAAAGCGAAGATAGGTTTTCAACCAGTACGTATGTGAACAACTTCAATATCGATGAATATGTTGACGATATGAAAACCTTTGTTCTTACTTTGTTGTAAATTTGTAATTAAGTATTCATCTTCTAAAAATGCCTCCCACGGCTGAAATTGTCCTCGTCTCCTTTAACTTTCAAATTTCAATACAACTTTCCATCTTATTTTTCAGTCGTTACAAAGCCAAAAAAAACAGAGCTTCAGGGTTAAAACTCTCTACCGGTTTTCCTCTACATGTCATATAAATTTTGCCTTAATCAGAAGTTTGTAAAAGGAATAAAAACGCGAAAACTGTGATTTTGTAATACAAAAGTGTAGTAAAGTGTGACCGATACCCCCCATGAAGCTAGTAGCAAATGATCGATATTCCGGCTTCAATTTTCGCAAGAGTTGCGTAACTTGCGTTATCAAGTCTAATATACATATCAGTGGATGAGCCAGCTTCCGACTTTAATTATCTTACTATATTTTATCATTGAGTTCTATAATAACTGGAGCGGCTAAGTGGACTGGGACCTGACGCCAAAAAAATGGCGGCCAATGGACCTATTTCCGCTGAAATGATCGCTTTGCAGAAAATTATATTATTGATCTCCCTCCTGATGTCTATAGCTAATTATACAGCCTTTTTCAAAAACAAACACGATATCTTTCTTTGGCATTTCTTTTAAAATGCAAACACTTCAATCATTCAATTGTTGAAAATCGTAATGTCCACAAAGTCGCTTTCACTGGTGAGATATTTGTTTTGTTTGTAATTGAAAAGCAACTGAACTTGAAGCCTGAGCGATAAAATCCGACTGATGTTTTTCTATTTATGTTTTTAACTATCAACATACTTTTCCACTTATTTGTTAATGTGTGAAACCGTAAATCTGTTTGCAAAATAGTTTCCCTAACGCGAAAAAGATTCTGCTCTTTTTTACTCAGTGGGCAGATACTATGAAGAAACGAACACCCCCAAAGAGTACACATAATGTAGACCAGAGGTTGTTCTGATCAATTTGGTGACAACATGAAGAGATGATCGGATAGCAAAATGTTTCTGGAATATGTTGCAGTACCAGTACCAACACTATTTCATAGAGCACTATGAAGACAATTGGAAGATGCTATTGACCTGGCAGAGTCTAAGTGCAAAATTATAAGGCTGAATACAAACAAAGGTAACTAATTTACAGACTTCCCTGTCCAACAGTTACTTCAACTTGGACTAATTTTATGGATGGAGACAAAGGATTTAGTAAAGATGCTTTGACCGCTTTGAAAGTAAAGGTCAAGTACCAAATAATGATGACAAGGTTTTGTGTGTCTTGATGCTTGATGAAATGTTATGTAAAAAAGTCGTAAAGGTTGTGCTTGTGTCAATATTTATACTGAGATTGATGATGACTTACTGCAACTGTACAATTTTTGTACAACTAAATTGGAAAATAAGGTCAAATCTCTTTATTAAATTATTTTAGTAGAATTTTGTTTGAATATTACTTATATGTAATGCATGCCATATTGAAGTATTAAAGATTCAGTGATGAAAAATTCAGTGCTATATATTTCTTGTTAATTTCAGTTTTTGCTGAAAAAATATTTTGAGCTCATTTACCTGATAAAGTAGAGAATGGACATTTGCCATTTGCTTTATCTTCCCCTTTATTAAAGCAGGGAAATTTTTTGTTTTTTCCAAGTTTTTCTTCGATTTTTTGCTTCTTAATTCATTTCATAATATGAATGAAATACAAGTAGTGCAGTTTAATAACTCTATAATTTCTGAAAATCTGTTAAGCTTCTAGCATTAAAGAACACAAAATGTGTTTAATTCATTTGGTTTTATTGCCTTATTTTTACATGTGTACATGCGCTTCATCATTCTTGTATAAACAACACCTGATGTTGCATACTTAGAGGGAAAAATCCCATAGCAACTGGTATTAAATATGGGTAAAAAATTTATTATTGAGGTGAAAGCTTTATTAGTCAATCAAATTCTAAACTCACATGGCTAATAGGAAACACATAAAAAAGAGAAAAAGAAGGAAAGTATTAAATACACATATATTTTGTTTCGTGTAGACTACAAACTTTGATCGAGCAAATCATTACGACGCGCACGTCTGCATTCATATGTGGCCAACAAATAGCTCGTTTGTTAAAAAAAGCATCCGTCATAGAAGCCGACAACTGGCGACCACAGTAGACTCGCTTTTAGGAAATTTATGTTTTTACAGTGATTTTCATCATAAAATTGCTTGCCAAACATGCTAAAAACATATACTTTTTCCTCACTCTTTCTCAAGGGGGAGAGAGAAATTGTGAGATTTTTAGAAAAGCAGTCAATTTCGGTAAATCTCAGCGGTAATAGAACAAATCCTCCATTTTATTGGCGTCAGCCGCTAATTAAAGCCACGCTTGAGATAGCCGTTCCAGTTATTATAGAATTAAATGTATTTCATACATGGTGCGTTATCCAGTGTAATGTACAT